AGCTTCTTTATGTGTGGTAGTTATTTTAATTTTTGTCAATTATTACTGTCTTTTATGTTGTGTTTGTAATACAGTACAAATAGAACTTTGTTGTGATTCTGTAAATGTAAATTTTCTATTGTGGGCAAACAATAAAATTTTTTTTTTTTAAATCTTTGAAGGAGTAACAGATGCTTTACCTAAAATAAAGACATGGTCAAATTAATTTGTATAAATGAAGCAGTTTAACCCATGTCTCCTAAAGAGACACGATTGCTTTACATGATTAACAGATTCCACTTTAACATTTTAATTTATAGATTTGGGTGAATAGACTTCCATTGGAGGGACAGCAATCTCTCAGATTTCATTAAAATATCTCTAAGTGAAGATGAAGGAAAGTGTTACGGGTTTGGAACGACATGTGGAAGAGTAAATGATGACACGAATCCGTCATGAGAGAGTGTCAAACTTCAGCTGAGATCACGATCACACAAAGATGATTCAGCTCTTGAAACTAACATTAAATGACCTAATGGAAACTGTGAACGAGAGTTGGTGAGGTAGCATTAGAACACACACACACACACACACACACACACTGCACAGCTGTGGTGGACACACATGGGTCCCTGTGGAGTCAAACCCTTCCTGAGTCGGATTTCACTCGGTGACTGACACAAACACACACACACACACACACACACGGCTCTCTGAATCATGAGCTCGAAAGATGAACACAATAACCCTGCTGTTTCCTGTTCCACACTTAGAGATAATCAGTGTTCACACACTCACACACACCTTCACCACACATTCAGAACGGATCTGTCCAGCTGTCCAGAGAAACACACTCACTGTCACTCACTCTCACACACAGAAACAGACACACACACACACACTCACATGCTGCGTCCCAATTCGCATACTATATCCGTCCTAAATAGTATTCGAAAATAGAATTAGTACGTCCCAAATCGTATTATGTTGAAATGAGTGTTTTAAAGATACCCGGATGGTCTACTATATCCGGTCAGAATCCGAAGTGTATTGTAATCGATGTGGGCTGATATTGCCCACAAACCATTGTGTGGTGGACGAGGATTCGGTTAGAACTACAAATACGAGTAAAAAGTGTTAAAAAACTACAGACACAGAGTCCCGCGGTTATGTTGAGATGTTTAGATAAAAAGCTGTGATTAATTATCAGTATCTAACCTGACGAAAATGAATTTACTCAATGTTGTCCACATTATATTGCATATGCAGCAGCACTGTGAACTTTTGTAAAGATACGTTTAGCCATTACTTTTTAAATGCATCATTATATTCAAATTGCAAACACGAGGAGAGTCTCTGCATGAAAGACCCATGACTGGCAGATGAACGTGCTCCGAAATGGTAGGAAATCAAATTAGATTGAATGGAGGATTTTAACTGTGACAAGATGATTGACAGGGCAGTTTACGGTGACAGGATGCATGCAGCACGCGACAGAGCTGTCCGTTAAAGATGACGTGATAGTATGTCCCAAAGCTTGCCTACTCTTTTGCTAAACACTCAAAAGTATGTACTTTTTCTTCACAAAAAGAGTACATACTTTTAGGGCGTAGTATAAATAAGCGAATTGGGACACAGCAACTCTCTCTCTCTCTCTCACACACACACACACACACACACACTCTCCCTCACACACTCACACACACACTCTCTCTCTCTCACTGATCTTCATCTGCATCAACATCAGGAGCAACATTACAAGAGTTTTTCTTTTTCTGCAAGTCTTAAAAACATCATTCACGCATGATGAGACTTCCATGAATCAAAGAATCGAATGATTCAAATAGAGTTGAATCAACAGAGCTGTTTCAAAGCACCCCATACACCCTTGTTCACAATTCCCTTCACTAGTCCACAAACAGAAGTGAATGAAAACAAGTGAGTGAATTCGGACATTAGTGCGCCGCGAGTTGCTGCTTTTGCTGTTTAATAATCATTTTAAACTTAGCAAACTGCTAAAGAAAAGATCCATCTAAACTATGGAAACTAGCATTTACAGACCTTAATTACACTGTAATAATCAATTAAAAAGGACTTTCTACATGATATCACGCTGTACTAATTGGACCAGCCATTTGGAAAAGGGATTTTTACACGACCCTTGCACTGCATTATGGGTGTTCTCACTGTGACCTAAGCATACTATCCGTCCTAAATAGTATGCGAAAATAGAATTAGTACATCCCAAATCGTAGTATGTTGAAATGAGTGTTTTAAAGATACCCGGATGGTCTACAATTTCCGGTCAGAATGCGAAGTGTAGATCGATGCACACTCTAACGGCTGATATTGCCCACAAATCATTGCGTGTTGGACGAGGATTTGGTTAGAACTACAAACAAGAGTAAAAAGTGTTAAAAAACTACAGACACGGAGGACGCGCGAGTCCCGCGGTTGTGTAGAGAAGTTTAGATAAAGAGCTTTGAGTGATTAATTATCAGTATCTAACCTGACGAAAATGAATTTATTCAATGTTGTCCACATTATATTGCATTTGCAGCAGCATTGAGAACTTTTGTAAAGACATGTTTAGCCATTACTTTTTAAATGCATCATTATATTCAAATTGCAAATAGGAGGAGAGTCTCCGCATGAAAGACCCACGACTGGCATGAACGTGCTCTCCGAAACAGTAGGAAATCAGATAGATAGAATGGAGGATTTTAACTGTGTCTATGAACTTTGACAAGATGATTGACAGAGCAGTTTACGGTGACAGAAGGCACTCCCCAGACAGCAAACTGACATTGAATCAACGTGGAAACGACGTCTCTCATGACATTGAAACAACGTTGATTTTGCTCATCGAATTAACGTTGAACCAACGTCAGACGCGGCATTCTTCAAAGCTAAATGAAAATCGAAAATTGGTTTGCTTTCATAACGTTGAAACAACGCGTTGATTTCAAGTTGATTTTCCGTTAGTTTTGAAAGAATGACGTGTCTGACGTTGGTTCAACGTTAATTCGATGAGCAAAACTATGTCAGATCAACGTTGTTTCGATGTCATATTTCCACGTTGATTCAATGTCAGTTTGCTATCTGGGTCAGCACGCGACAGAGCTGTCCGTTAAAGATGACTTGATAGTATGTCAGAAAATTTGCCTACTCTTTTGCTACGCACTCAAACGTATGTAGTTTTTCTTCAAAAAAAGAGTACATACTTTTAGGGCGTAGTTTAAGTAAGCGAATTGGGACGCAGCACTACACTCGCAAACCTCCCTAAGCACTCCCTGAAGTGCGCTTCACTTCGTCAAGTGAACGAGAGAAGAGTATCAGGACAGACCCTTGATTCTGATCTGTAGACCACAATGCACCATGATTGTGACATCACAACAGACCTACACAACTGTAGTGTACGACATTGGACATATTTTTACATTTAACCACATTTAATAGTTGTAGCTAGCTAGCTACCTTAAGCTGACTGCTATTGTACTGTTTTTATCTTTGTTTGTGTAATCTTATAAATTTTCTTCAACAGCCCATTCATATAGAATTGTGCATAGAACAAATACATAAGGAAAAGATAAATCAGGGCTATTCAAGCACACTGCAAGGGCAGGGCCAGATTAACCATTAGGGCAACTGGGCACTTGCCCAGGGGCCCACGACATCTAAGGGGGCCTGGACACCAGTGGCAATCGGGAGAGTCGGGAGTTTCCCAGGTGGGCCGGTAGTGTTTCGAGGCCGCGAGGGATGGTTTGATAAAACGTTAAATTGGTAAAACGTTATATTTTGTCAACGGACTAAAATCGAAACCATGATATGGATTTTTGCCTCAACAGCACAAGACTTTAAGAATATGCATCCTGTTAGTGCTGGGTGGATTAAAGAAAAGTGTGCACTTTGCTTACGCGATCATAATAGTGTTTTCTCCTAAATACAAGCTCAAGGATTTATTTCTTGCAAGTGAAGAAATAAGGACAAAGTATTTTAATTTTCCTATATTATAGTGTAATGTAGACTAAAATATAGGCTACTTTTGAAATATTCATTTTCATTTATATAGTACATTTATAAGCTTTATGGATTTTACCTCATAGGAATAATTATATAAATAATTTTTACATTATTATAATAATTGTTTGGGATCCTAAAACACCATTGATAGGCTAATGTAATGTAGACTGAGACTCAACTAAAAAGATGTTTGAGCCCTCTTTATATTGTCCTGGTACAAATCAATGCGTTTTCTTTGTTCAACGAGCAGTTCATGGGTTGAAGCTCTTAATTTTGATCTCTCAAAGAGCACGAGATTGATGCATTTAACCTTAAAATATACAAAATTTTCTGCAGCATAGTTCAACAAAGTTAATTTTAAGTCAGTAAAACTGTAAATGTCATATTAAAATGCCCTTGGACAAAATATACATTTGGCCTGCCTAAGAGGGGGCCTCTGAACTCTTAATCCAGCCCTGTGCAATAGTTTCGCTAGTTGTGAACAGCGTAGGCTAGGCACTAAGCAGTGACGTTCACAAGTCTGAGTGTGATTATGAAGTGAGCCATTTGGGACAAGGCCTTAAATGCAGCCCAGTTGTACACTCGTTATTGCAGTGAATTGTGGGATTGAATGAGTGCACTCAGAAATGTCCACTACAAATTTAGGGCATAGGGAATAGGGGCGATTTGAGCCTGAGAAAAATTAATCAATCAAATGACATCACTTCCTCCATTGACTCTATTTGTATCGTTTTCTCGCGGTATGAACAGCGCTCACAAAACCTTTATGGGACAAAACATCACATGAACATAAAATAAATAAAGCTTCTAAAGACGTTTTTTCGCAATGATTCCACAGAAGAACCTTTCGGTGATCCGTTCACAAAAGAACCGTTTTCATAGTGTGAAGAAGAACATTTAATAACCTAAAGAAGCTTCAGCGATGGGAATATCCCTGGGTATTAAAGGTTCTTCATGGAATCATAAATCCCAATAAAGCGGCTTTATGTTTCAGTTACCTGTGTCTCCAGCATCATCATCATCATCTTCATCACCTCTCATTCATGGCTCATTCACTGAACACACTCCGCGTGTCCGAACCGAACCAGCGCGAATGTCCGTCTCTGCGAGTCTTTTTCTCTGATTATGGTTACAAAGGCGATCAGATCAGATCAATAATCCGCGGCAGAGCATCAACAATCATCCAGAAAAACAATCATAACAGCAAACGCGTCATGATGTGAATAAAATCAAGGAGACGGAAATAAATCCATAATCGCGAATAAAATCATAATATTAAATCAGATTCAAAATGGAGGCGATGCTGAGGATCAATCTGATTTCACATCAGATTTATGTTTTTGTTTAGCATATAGGCATCCATCGCCAGTTGAGCTGATCTCAGCGTCTCGTTCATAAACATCAGACCCGGATCGGGTTCACGAGTCCATTTAAATCCACAGGAGAGAGAAACGGGTCGCAGGATCCGGATCGGGCCCGAATCCCACAGAAGCCGCTAGGATCGGAACCAGAACCGGAACCCGCTGAAGATCCGAACCCGAATCCTTGTTTACTCATGCACGAATCCCGTGTTGTTATTCGCTCGTGTCCTTGACACACATCCAGCTCTCGCGCACATTCTGATGTGGGTTTGTGGGTCTGCGGCGTGCACGCGCACAGAGGGCGTGTGTGCTCGCGGAAGATGAACGAACACACACACACACACACACACACACACACACACACACACACTCACTCGATCAGATGTACATCATGCAGGACAGCAGGTGTGTTTTATCTGCATCAGTGCGAATCAGCATCACGGTACTACGGGTAATGAAGCATCCGCGGCTGGAGGAGTTTCCATGGAAACAGAGATGCTCGACTGACATCACTGTACAGTACACGGTATCCTTTATACTTACACCAATAAAGGTTTACAGATGCGGTATTATATCACATTCCTTCATTACCAAAGTTATTATACTCAGCAGAATCTATAAAGAACATTTTCGGGTCTTGAAATAAAAAAAAAGGATATATCAGTTAGTTGCCAAGGCAACATTTCTCATGATCAGTTTAATTTGATGTGATAAAATAAACTAATATAACATTTATATTTAAAAAAAAAACTATATAGACTTATTAAACAAAACAAAATTACTAAAATGTTAAAAATAAAAAAAATATATGTATTTTTTTTTAAACTATGATACTAAAATAACACTGCTCACTGAGAAAGAGAGAGAGAGAGAGAGAGAGAGAGAGAGAGAGAAAAGGAGACAAAACTTATCTTGCTGCCCAATATATTCAAACATGCCACAACCTGTGAGTGAGCGAGTGATCGACACACACACACACACACACAAATATATCCAAATATTGTGTTAAATGTTTGTGTATGTGTGTGTATATATATACAGTATATATATGTATGTGTATGTGTATATATATATATATATATATATATATATATATATAGTATTTGTATATTTTGTATATGCTTTGGCAACATTGTTTGAAAAACTTTCATGCCAATAAAGCCCCTTTGAATTGAATTGAGAGACAGTCGGACACACACAGACACACACACACACACACAGAGAGAGAGAGAGAGAGAGAGAGAGAGAGAGAGAGAGAGAGAGAGAGAGAGAGAGAGAGAGAGAGAGTCAGACACACACAGTCGAACACAGACAGACACACACACACACACACACAGACAGTTGCTGATATAAACACAGACTCACACACACGGACAGGCGGCAGAGACACACAGACAGGCATACACACACACAGACTGTTGCTGATATAAAGGGCATTGGCACTGATTAGCAGAGATCAAGCGAGCGATGTTGGCGAGTTCTGGTGACATGTACACTGGTGTGTGACGGATGTGAACGCACCTTCATGGGAATGCACCTTCAAGGGAACGTTCTAGATTTTAATAAGATGGACAATTTGAGATTTAATTTTTTTATTCTGCAAGCAAGCACTGTAAAAACATTGATATACAATGGCAAGAACTACAGGTGCCTTCATACAAAAACATCTTCACATGCAAAAGAAAACAATCCTCTTCAAATGTACACAATGGAGGAGCGGTTACAGAGAGACACGTGTGGCCAGACATTCCCCGAAGAAGAAGAGCATCGATTTCCCAGACAGATTAAAATACAAAAACAACGTGACATTTAAAAAAGGTGAATTGCAACACGTTTTAAAAAAAAACATAATAAACTTTGATCGGAAGTTCCCTCAAACAAACACGCTCAGCGCTCAGTCAGTATTAGTGTGACGAAACTAATGCAGATATTAGTGGAAGATTGACTGGTTACGCATCTGAAGAGAGGCATGATGGGATACTGACGCCATCGCATCTGAGGAGAGGCATGATGGGATACTAACGCAATCACATCTGAAAGACGAGCTCATGCTTGAGTGTGTGAAGGAAGCCGGATGAACACACACAGACACACTCCTCGGGATCAGGGAAATCCTGCAGGAGGCTTTCATTCGCTCACGGATGAACCAGAGAATCTGCAGTCAGGATTTTGTTCATTTGTGAAAGATACGTGATCAAGTATTAAACAAAACAAAACAAACAAACAAACAAGAGGCCGTAAACAATCACTGATATAAACACAGCCGTATAAAGTCCATCAAACTGTGAAGATCTTTTGTTCTCTTCAGTATTTATACTGTAGTAATTACGATCAATGTTCTGGAGTGTTTCTGGAGTCCCGTCTGCAGTGTGTGTGTCAGTGTGTGGGTCTTTATAAGCGTTCAACAGTAAACACAGTCACTTACACACACACAAACACACCCTCTCACACTCGTCTACCTGAGAGACGGTAAGACCAAACGCTCAATCACACAAAGGCAAACGATGGATCCCACCCGGGTCGGATGGGCGGCACTGCTGTCAGTCATCAGACTGGGGGCGGAGCCTGGGGGTGTGGCCTGAGTGGGTGGAGTCTGTGGGCATGGCTACAAGCCTTCCTGCAGTTCTTTAGCTTTAATGAGGATGGCGTGAACATCAGAAATGGGATAATCCTGAAAAAAGCAGATTGGAGGTTAGAGGGTGCCTGTGTGCGTGAGAGAGAGAAAGAGAGTGTGTGCGTGTGTGTGTGTGTGAGAGAGACAGAAAGAGAGTGCGTCACGGCTGTACTTTTTATTGTCTTTTCTGCCGTGTGTGTGTGTGTTTGTGTGTCTGTGTTAGTGTTGGAAAAGTTTTATTTTCTTTGTCTTACGTGGAGTTTGCGTTGGGGTTTGGAATGAACTACAAGCCGGTCTCTTTGAATCCATCTTCAACTTTTGTCAAAAGTTGACTAAAGTTTTTCCGCTTTAGTTGTCTTCGCTGATACGGAGAATGGCGGCGAATACACACACCTGCCAGACATCGCCAGGTGAGCGTGAACGCGCATGACGTCTCAAATTCCGTCCCGAATCCCTCTTATTTAACTTACTGTACAGGATTATAGACAGTGTTGTGCAAGTTACTTCCAAACTGTAATACATTAGGTATTACTTGTTACTGTTATTTAAAAGTAATTCATTACCTTACAATATTACTGTCCCAGAATTGTAATGCGTTACATTACTCATGTATTACTTTTGAGTTACTTTCACCAAAATAACTAAGTAGAACTTAACTTTTGGGCTATAACGATATGCAATATGAAACCGAAATCGCGATTCGCCACACGACTCAGATCCACGAACCTACAGAATCGCGACAAACCTCTTCCAACTCCAGCGTTATTCTCCTTACCGTCCAGATCCAATGCTGCCTTATCTTTAAATTAGGCTATTAGTATTATTTGAAGTTAACATTATAAAATACGTAGACCTACACCACAAAACTAGTTGAGGATAAATTATTAAAAATTGGGGAAGTCCAGCATTATGGACATGACATTTGCAGTCAAAACTTGAAATAAAAATTCTCAGAAAATACATGTATTGAAACGTATAGGCTACTTCCTTAAAGGACTCCAGACATTAGACAAATATCAGTCTATGTTTTATTTTTAATATTAGGGAAAAGACACGCATTCATGCGTGACAAAAAAAAAAATAGGAGGCAAAATAAATTTTTTGTAATTCTGTTAATTACACTGCGCAAATCGGATGAGGAAGGGTTGGCTCTCCAGTCTCCATAGAACTTAAAATATTCATTTTATTTTAGTTTTCGTGTTCGCATTTATGAGGAAAAAACAATGTTACAGACGCGACCGCTCTGAACTGGCACTAAAAGACTGCTTTAAAACTTTCACATAGTCTGTTGCCTTTAAGAAGTAAAAACAGACAATACACTGTAATACAACTGTAATACAAGCCTCACTGTACATGTAACGAGTAAAATATTACTGAAAATTGATTAGTAATGCCTTACACTACTGCGTTACAGCAAAAAGTAATATGTTACTGTAATGTATTACTTTTGTAATGCGTTACTCCCAACACTGATTATAGATGCAATCGGAGTGATCAGAGAAGGGCTCATTCAGCCCATCAGGCAATTGTTTAAGCATGTATGGGTTAGAAAAACGGGTATTTTTAACGTGAAATGTTGCGCAATGCACCTTTAAACCATTTATTTCTAATGGTTTTGTGTCACTGCACAAAGTGTTGATAAAGTTGCAGTGAAACTTCTCTGAGACACAGGGTCATCCGAGTCGTTTATTTTGGAGTCTATGTTGCCCTTCTCAACTGAGTCGCACACTGGTAGGTCGCTTTTGAGTCACGGAATTGGGCTTTATATATTATCCGTACCCTTGCATAAAGTTAATTTGACCCGTGACAGTTCATGGAGTGCTGGATCTTGGTACATGCCCTATTTTACCTGTTGATGGTGTCTCATTGATCCTTGGAAATAACTTAGCAGGCGGACGTATGTGGGTTAATAAATCGCCCTCTCTAGTTGTGACTGATGCACCGTCTTGTACGGGTAATCAGGATGAGAGTGCACAACAGTATCCAGAAGTTTTTGTGGTGTGTGCGGTAACTTGTTCTGGTGCTCTGCCAAGGGTTGAAGAGAAAATTAGCGAGACTGAATCGGGCTTCATTCTGAGTGATTATCCCATTGTGGTTTCTCAGGAGGAGTTGTCAACTGAGCAGCAGAAGGATGAAACATTGAAACCACAATTTGAACAAGTTATTGATAGCACTGAAATTTGGGACAGAGCACAAGGCTATGTTATTGAAAAAGGGTTTTATGAGAAAGTGCTCCCTACATGCTGTTGATTTTATGGGAGATTCTGTCATCCAGGTAGTGATACCAGTGAAGTTTCGCTGGTATCTTCGCTTTCTCTTCGGTATTTCTACTGGCCGCGTATTAAAAAGGATGTTGCCAGTTTTATTAAGACCTGTCATACATGCCAGCTTACCAGTAAACCAAACCAGTTGTTAAAGCCAGCACCTTTGAGTCCAATTTCGGTAGGGTTGGGTATCGGTTGGGTTTTATCCGATACCAGTACCTACTCGGTATTTTTTAAACGGTTCCGGTGCCTAAATGGTTCTTGAAACGGTACTTAAGAAAACGAAACCGCACACACTTTGTCAAAAAAATAATAATACCCCTTTATTTACAGGGCCAAACTGAACACAATATTAACTTACAATATACAGGGGTTGGACAATGAAACTGAAACACTAGCCAATGTTGGAGGTTTCACATCTATATGCCTGGCGGCCAATCTTCAGAGTGAAGCAAGGGTGGATCAGTGATGGTTTGAGCTCCAATATCATGACAATCCTGATTGTATTTGATGGACACGACACTGCCGAGGACTACCAAACCCTTCTGGAGGATCATGAGCACCTGATGCTCAAACCGTGTATCAGCATGATCATGCACCAACACACACAGCAAGACTTGTGACAGAAGGGTTTGAACATCTCCCATGGTCTGACAGTCACCAGATCTGAATATTATTGAGGTGTTTTGGAGGAGCGAGTCCACCAGCATCATATAGTGACCTGGACACTGTTCTGGAAGAGGAACGGCTCATAATCCCTCTGGTCACTGTGAAGGACTTCTATCTGTCAATTGGTGCTGTATTTGGATGCAAAATGAGGCCCTCACCATTCTAACAAATTATTGTGTAGTAAAACCAGGTGTTTCAGTTTTTTTGTCCAACCCCTGTAAATACTTGTAAAATATGGTAATAATAAATAAACCAATATAAAAAAAAGTTCAAATTTGCATAATATCAAATAAAACAATATTATATTAAACAATGTAATTACACTGGAGATTAATAGAGATTACTACCAGGGTAATATAATATCGACATGGCTACAGGTTTCCATTTTTTGTCTGCTTTAACTAGTCATGTAGGCTAAGTTATCTTGTCATTCACTTTAAGCTCTTAGCCAGTTTGATATTTCGTTCCCACTGCATCTTATACGTAGCTTTGAGTATATGAAAGAGAACGTCTCTGTGTAACCCATGTTCTCCGAATAGGGAAAGAGATGCTGCGTTTGCTGCCAAATATCTCGCGCTGCCGACAAGCTTCCTTTTTCAGCAGAGAACTCTGAGGAGCAGATGATGCGCGCACTAATATGATATAATATGACGACGTGAGCATCAACGCGGCACGAATGGTGATTCTTCTATATCCATAGACAATCGTTATTCTGACGCGTAATTTTACACGTAAAATGTTTGGCTGCATTTCACGTGTAAAATTACGCGTCAGAATAACGATTGTACATTTCACGTGCGTTTAATCTCCTCGCTATCAGCAGACGTTCCGGGAGTCTCCCGCATATTGATAACGGCTCCCGGATATTCGCAAATTAGTTCAAATCTCCCGGAATCTAGAGCGAGCGAGCAAGAGCGTGCGTGCAAGACAGATCAGACAGTGCTTCAATAACCGTATAGTGCGCGCACGTCGGAGAGGGAGAGGGAGACAGCGAGAGACTGAGTGTGTACGCCTCATGCCACAGACTCAGGCATCGAAATCAGGCACCGAAATGTTCATTTTAATTCGGTCTGGTTACTACCGTTTACGTCAGAACCGGTTCCCTATTGGCGTTTGGAGTCCCTCTTTGGAGTTTCGGTACCCAACCCTAAATTTCGGCTATATGTCAACCGTTTGAACATCTTATAATTGATTTCGTCGATCCACTTCCTCCCTGAGGAGCTGGAAGTGAGTACCTGTTAACGGTGATGTGTCAAGTTACGCGTTATCCGGCTGGTAACCCATTGCGCTCGATTAATACAAAGTCTATTGTGAAAGCGATCACTCAGTTTGTGTCAATTTTTGGGTTACCGAAAATTAATTATTATCGGACCAGGGAAGTAATTTTACGTTGAAATTGTTTGCGGAAGTGATTTGTGAGCTGGGTATTAAACACAATCTGTCCACAGCGTATCATCCCCAGAGTCAAGGGGCACTTGAACGGAATTGTTTTCGGATGTTCCAACCCAAACAACAGAGTGGAGCATGATATCGAGGAGGGCGAGGCTGCTTCTGTCTGTCAGCGTTTTTACAGGGTTCTGCTGAGTAAACGAGAGGTTTTGGAAAAGGAAGTCCAGTATTTGCTGGATAATAGGTTAGCCGAGCCTTCATTTTCCAGCTGGTCCTGGCCGTCTGTGTTAGTTAAAAAATCTGATGGTATGTTCCGATTTTGTACAAATTATAAGAAACTGAATTCTGTTACAAGGCCAGACTCCTTTCCTCTGCCGAGAATGGAGGACTGTGTCGATCAGGTCGGTGCTGCAAAATTTATGACAAAATAGGACTTACTCAAAGGCTATTGGCAGATTCTGCTGACAGAGCATGTGCGTGAGGTTTCCTCGTTTATAACACCAAATGGATTATTCTCTTACCGGGTTACGAGTTTCAGTCTTCGAAACACACCGATGTTTCAAAGAATGATAAATAGGGTTATGGTGGGCCTAAAAGGTGTGACTGTTTATTTGTATGATACGATCGTGGTAAGTGAAACATAGGCAGACCACCTTAAATGTTTACGCCTGCTTTTAGTCGGCCTCGCTCAATCAAATCTTACATTGAATCTGGCTATGTAGGAGTTTGCAGGAG